GATAGGGAACTAGAATAAATGCCAACAATCTACAGCAATCTAATCAGTTACTTATACATTCTTCACTTTACAAATATCTATGGATGAAGCTGAATAAATGGAATGTATGCATTCATTGTTTTACGATAAAATCAATGGCACTAATTGATTTTACACAAATTGCTCATCATTTTAATTTTGATGACCTAAAGACCTAAATTAAAATATTTCAGTTTTCAAGCTATATTTTGAGAAAGGATGCACTTTTTTTCCTGCAAGTCATTCAAATTTACAACCAGAATATATACAAATTCTGGATAAAAAAACTAGAAATAAAATAGATGGAGATTCCATTTAAGAAACATACTGGTATTTTATGCAGCTGGGCTGTGACCTTGGAATGATTATGAACTAGTTCAAAAAGTCAATATAAATATGCCAGATTAGAGCTGAAGTACCTACACTTCAAGTTTAGTACACCCACCATATAAGAGCATGATTTTGACTCTCAACAAGCATACTAAGTACAAACTTGAATACAAATCTATTTTAATTCTTATGTAATTTTTTGTCAACACCGAAATCCAGATTAGATTCAATTGCTCCCAATAACCCAGGCTAACTAATAAATCTGAATTATTCTACCTCCAAGTAACTGTTCTGCTGCCTCACCTTCCAGCTTTGCATCAAAAGCTGCTCCCCCCCCCAAAAAAATATCCATTCTTTATCAGCAGCCCCTCGAATAGGAAAACAACAGCGAGGTCTAGCTACGCTCTTTGCAAGCATCGCTTTGCAGACCCAAAATGAGATGCAGAGCTGGAAGGCCAAGAGACATGAAGGCAAGCGGGTGCCTCAGAAACGTTTCAAGAGCGCAAGGGCGCCCACAAACGCGGGGTCTGCCGCCGAGGCCTCGGCTCGGCCAAGCATCCGCAAAGCTGACGAGCGAGAAGGCCGGGAGCAGAGGAGGCAACTCCCCGGGTCGACTTTCATTCGTGATGGGCCCCTCGGCAAAGGTAGCCAGAGGGAGCCAGCCTGAAAACGACCTACAGCCCCCCCTCCCCTCAGGCAGCGGTTAGGGAGAGGAGAGGGGAGGGGCCGAGGTGGCGCTCCCTCACTCACCCAACAGCAGCGTTTGGTCGCGGCGGCCCCTGCCCGGCGGTCGCTCTCTCGCTCTCGGGGCCTGAGGCGGGAGGGGGCCAAGCCTGGGCGAGGGCTACTGCCGCCGAAAGCTGCCGCAAGAACGAACCCTTCCCGAACGCGCCTCGCCGTCTCGTTCTCCTTCTCTTTTCTCCGGAGAACTGCGCAGCAACCCAGCGGCCCAGAACGTCACATCCGCTCGTCGGCTGTGTGCAAAGGACGGACGATGCCCGCATACGTATGAAGCCCCCAAAGGCGAGCCAAGAACTGTTGTCACATGCGGGAGGAGAGAGAGAGAGAGAGAGAGAGAGAGAGAGAGAGAGAGACGCGGTTCCCAATCACGTGATCGGAGGGGGATTGGCGCCCTTGCTATTAATTGCGAATGGAAGCCCCGTCATCTTTCTTTTTTTCTTCAAAACAAAACAAAAGAACTTCGAATTTAGAGATTTGAGAGTTACCCCTGGGTAATAAATTAGACCCATGTTCACGATAATTAGGCTATAATTTTATGTACAGATATGCACATTATAATAAGAGTCCAAAAGACTGGAGGTTGTTAATATGTACAGAAGTCATATTATCTTAAATGAAAAGGACATGCCGGGGTGTAACTTCTCTAGGGGTAATTGGTTTAGTATCTCGTTCATGTAAGTGTACACCTATATAATAAAATTTGTTTAGTTGTTAGCCTATTATAGCCACAGTTACCCAAAGTGTTAACTTATCAGAAATAATTGCAATATTCTGTTGCAATGTAATTTCTCTAACCTAGAACACAAAATATGTGAAACAAGAATTTCAAGAAAGGCTGCACAAAACTGTGTCTTACTATTTGCACAGAGAAGGGTGCAACAGTGTTTTACTTCCAGCAAAACTGAAAGAAAAAAAATATTGAAATGTTCCTGCTCTATTATTCTTTACCTTCATTAATACAGTGAGCTAGCTAAAAGTAAATATGTGCAAGGATGATTCTGAAGTCCTTAAACTTAACAAACATGAATTGACATTTAGATGCGGGGGAGTTGTTACTGTACTATCAAAACTCAGGAGTAGATTTATATTATAGAGAAATGGATGTAAAACTAGTTTATCAGTCAATGCTCTATTTCTGGCTGAATGAAAACTATCCCTGTAAAATTATGAATTGTTAAAACACAAGAAAGGTGCAAAAATTGTTTTAGCTTTTTACAATGATCATACAAGGATTGCAGCACTGCAGCATTTTTTAAAAAAAAATTCAGGTGCCTCAAAGGGAGATTCTGCAGTTTTTGTCATGAAAGCCACATATATGAAGAGAGGAAAAATGACACATTCTGGCAGTTTCAAAGCATTAGAAGGTTGTGGGTTGCTATTGGCCATACTCAAAGGACTATTGGGCCACCAATGCACAACTGGTCTACAGCAGTGGTTCTCAACCTTTTTAATGCTGTGACCCCCAACCAGTCGTAAGTCGAGGACTAAACCGGTCGTAAGTCGAGGGTAAACCGGTTGTAAGTCGAGGACTACCCAACTGGTCATAAGTTGAGGACTTTCCCTGCCCGGGAGCGCTGAGCATGTGCTGTGCCACCCCCTGCGCCAGCCGAGGCATAGCTGGCAAGCGGCAGAGACGGAGCAGGCCGACCACCGGCTGGGCCACCAGCTGGCCCAGCCCAAGGGAGGTAAGCACCCGCCGGAAAAGGGGAAAAAAATGGCAGACAGCCTTGCTTGGCAACCCTCGTGAAATGGTTGATCGATCCCAAATGGGGTCGCGACCCATAGGTTGAGAACCGCTGGTCTACAGCCTTTTTGGCCTATGGTACCAGAGGGCATGAAATTCCCCTAGTTTTGCCTGCCACAGTGCATCTTTCTCTACCAAGGCTGCAAACAAAACCCACAGATTCTCCAAGGCTGCTTTGTGTGCAAGGAGATAATGCTTTTATTATCCTGTGCCACACCCATCCACAGGCATATAAACAGGATATGTATCAACCTGTATCATTTTCTCTGTAATCTCCATTAGGGTCTGGATAGGGTGGGGGAGAGATGGACCTAATGCTAGAAAGGCACACTGAAGAGGGCTGGACACAGAGCTCACATCCTTTTATAGGAATCGGCTGTGATGCCTGACATAATAAAACATAGCCTGACTTAGTACTGCCCTTCATATTGATCCTTGTCAATCAATATGATACGTGTTTGCACCCAGAAGAGGGAATGAATGTGATGGCACTCACATTTTCATCAGCCACAGGCAACCTTGTACTGAGGCAATATTAACATTCAGCCTTCCAAAGGCACTCTCTGCTAAGTTCCTGCACTGGTTGAATATGTATGCTGATTTGCCTAAAAACAGCCTTATAAGCCACCAGTGCATCAGATAAGTGTCATCTCCAAAGGTAATTGTTTGTATGGAAAGGCATCCATTGGTCTTTGGGTTTTCCAGAGACCAATAACATTGCCTATATGTATGACAAAACATCAATTACTGACAAACGTTTGTATCCACAAACGTTGATGTCAACACATTCACTCATGTGATTATCAGTTTCCTACATGAGATTCAAGTAGATTTGCTTCTATTTGATCTGCCTGTGTGGCTTATTGATAGCTGAATATATAAGTAGTTATAGCAATTATATGTATGGATGATTGCAATTATGTGTGTTTATTAGCCAACATTTATGTCTGTTGGATGATAGTAGCCTTCTTAAGCAGCAGCAATTTAAACCAGTTTTAATGTTACTATTTGTTGTTTTAATTGTTTAGTGTTTTATTGATTATAACCACCTAAAGTTGCCTCTCTAGTGAGATGGGCGGCATATAAGGTAAATAGTGTACCATAAAATCCCTTCAAGAGACACTTATTGATTGAAGACAGGATTGACTACATCAGAAGCTCCATGTGTATATTACTTCAGATTTTCAGAACTTTTTCTTAGGCTAACATTGGCAAAAAAAAAATATATGTTTGTCATGGTAGTTGAAGAAATAACATTCTGTTCCTCCACCTATTGATGTTAATACACTTTTGGAGCAACTAGGAATCATATTCTTCTTGGTGATTGTTTCTGCAGATGTTATTTTAATATAGATTGCTATTTGAGTGGGTTTTTTGTATCTGATATATTAATATTGTAATGATTGACCAGTTTCATATTTTGTATACACACTGATCTGTACAGTTGCATTCTTATATACATTTTAGTATCTCAATATCCCCAAGATGTCCAAACAACAGCAAGCCATTAAATCACTGTATATTATGCTCAGCACTCTTACTTTCTCTTATATCATTCTGTGGATTATTTTTAATACACTGCCCTGGATAGTAGCAGTGCTGTAGAAGTTGCTATCACAAGAAGCTATTTGTGTGAAAGTTTTACATCTTCAATTTTTTAATAAGAGATTAATTTTTACATTAAATGCTTCATAATGATTTTTTTCTTAATATACATTTCTGCCACTCATTTTATTAACAAAAGAGAGCACTATAGATATGAGTTCACTTTGAGCATCCTTCATTTTGGGGAGTTAGCCAGCCTCCTGGCATTATCCCTTAGCAAATAATTGTTACAATCTCTTCTTGGCATAGGTTTTTTTTTTTTTTTCAACTTGTGTTCAAGATATTAGCAGGAAATTGTTGAACAGCAGTATTTCTCAGACTTGGTAATTTTAAGATGTATGAACTTCTACTGCCAGAATTCCCCCAGGGATGCTGGCTGGGAATTCTGAGAATTTTAAGTCCAAAGATTTTAAAATTGCTTAGTTTGAGAAACCCTGTGCAAATGGTTCCACGGATATCTCCCCATGTAGACCTGTCCTTTATTATTGCAACATATTGCACAATGATTTATTTAAATAATAACGACATGTGTGTCACCTTCCTTCTTTTGCTTTTGGAAACTACAATTCCCATCTACAGTTATGAGCATGTGCAGATGTATTAAGTGACGCAAACGATCACAGGATCCATCTGACAAGAGAGTCCTGGGCGTTGGGAGGCGGTGCTGTGGAAGCTTTTCCATTTCTCAGCAACAAGGAAGAAGGGAAGCCGGAATTCTAGGAGTTGTTCGCTGTTTCCAAAGTGTAAGAGGTCAATGAAGTCGCTTTTGCCTCCTTTTCTTGTTGAAGTGAATAACCGCTTCTATGGTTTCTAGCAAGCCGAGGAAAAGAATGGTTCCAGGGTTAACTTTTTAGGGCTCGAAGTTTAGCTGCGCTGGAGGTCGTGTTTTTCTCGATAGCCGAACGACGGGCGGTGGTGCGCTTTGTGTGGGTCTTTACTAGCGGAGGGTAGGACAGAAAGAAAGCCGTACTACCGTGGTGGGGTGGGAGGGCGGCTAGTTGCCCCATCGGCTACAACTCGTCTAGAGGCAGAGACAAATCCAACGAGGTTACGCCATCGCGTTTTGTAATCCTTCGGGCTGTAACGAGCTCATGGAGTCTGAATCGCTTATTTATATTTTTTCCCCGTCTTAATGTCAGAGAAGAAGTTGTGGAGTTTTAAATCAGGAAAGGGAAGATAGTTTAATGGCACTTCAGCGTAGCCTTTTTAGGAAGAGAGGAATTGCAGGTTTTAAAACCAACTTTCACCGGTATAGAATTTCAGACTAAGGTGAAGTAATTTCTGAATTGCCGCAGAAGGTAATTCAAGACTGTAGTGATGAGCTGATCTATTTCTTAAGAACTGCGTAAATATAAATATTGGGCTGTAATAGAAAAAATGCTTACCTGTTTAAGTTTTTGCTTGATGTTACTGTCATGTCCAAGGTTTAAAAAATCCTGCTGCAAGACAAAAGAAAACAGCTGGGAGTCTTTGTACTTTGCCATAAAGAAAAAGTACAGCACAATCAGATGTAAGGTTCTCTTTTATAAATCTGATGAAACAAAAATTGGGAAATTATTACTGACATCTACAGAAATAAATGTGATCTTATTTTCCAGATACATTGATTATGATTCCCATTATCACTAGTCAACATATTAGGATGGTTTTATAGTTATATTGTATGATGTCTTCGATTAGACAGTACAGTAAATATATTTTGATTGATTGATAATGGTTGGTGATAATTATATTTGTGATCCTAAAACATCTGGAAGAAGCAAGCCTGAAATAAAGTAATTGTGAAATAAATCATTTAGCATTCAAGGGGCTGACAGAAAGTTAGCATCTTTTCTCTCGAGTAAAGTGATTTATTTTGAATAGTGCAGTTTCCATCTCAAATGGATACAAATGTATTATTGTCTCAACTTTGATGGGTCCATAGAGTAATTTAGAAATATCCATTGTTGGGATGAATTATATATTCAATTTACCTAGATACAATTTTTAATCCACTAGGATCAAACCAGTAATGTCTTATCAGTTTTTATGAGCTAAAGTTTAATGGAGTGGTCAATATATTGGTGTCTCTAGCTGAAAGAAATTCCAGGAATATTTATGGTTCTAAATCTTGTTTTAAAGAGCTTATGCCAGTAATATGGAACATGATTGAATTGTAGAGCAAATCTTTTACAGAGATTATATCAGAGATATGCGATTTCTTTGAAAGGGGTATTTAAAATGCACACTACTTTTGTTTCCCAACACAATAATCATGTAGACACAATTGGGAACAGCTTCCAAAGCAGCTGTGAGAGTCTGGGGGAAAAACCCTATTCCAGACATGTCAAACACAAGGCCCGGGGGCCAGATGTGGCCCGTGAAGCCATTCTGGAAACAGTGAGGGAACAGCCCCCTCTGCCTTGGCCCTGGCCCAGGCCAACCGGGAGCCAATGTACAATTTTGTAGTGGCCATCTATGCTGAAACACATTCAGTCTTAACTCCATAAGGCCATCTGGAAACAGTGAGGAACCAACCCCTGTTGCATCGGCCTGCCCCCTGGGTGCACGCTGGGGAGGTGTCACCCTTTGTGAGGAATGAAGAAATGCACCATTGCCTGGAAGTGGCCAGCAAATGGCCCTCGCCTACTTCACATATCCGGGGGAGGGGTTTCATCAGGCAGTGGGGTGCTCTCCTCACAGCGCTAAGAGGCTAAGCTGGGCGGCATGAATCCAAAAAGAAGCACAATGCTGTCCAGTCCCCAGCCTGCCCGGTTTCAGCAGGTAGCAAGGTGCAAAGCTGACGAGCTTTGCACCTCCCAGCTCAACCTCTCGGCGCTGTGAGGAGAGCACCCTGCTGCCTGCCAAAACCATGCAGGCTGGGGGCTGGGTGGCATCACGCTTCTTTTTGGTTTTCCGCTGCCCGGTTCAGCCTCTTGGCTCTGTGAGGAAAGCGCCCCGCTGCCTGCCAAAACCAGGCAGGCTGAGGGCTGGGCGGCCTCTTGGCGCTCTGAGGAGAGCGCCCTGCTGCCTGCTGAGACCGGGCAGGCTGGGGGCTGGGTGGCATTGTGCAGGTAACGTTGACTCATGGCAGCCCCTCCTCCAGAGCCCACTAAGCCCGATATGTGAAGTAGGTGAGGACCATGTGCTGGCCACTTCTAGGCGATGGTGCATTTCTTCATTCCTTACGAAGGGTGACATCTCCCCAGCTGCGTTTCTTGCCTGTTTTTCTCCCTCCCTCATCTCAAATATTTTCCCACCACTCTGTACTTAGGAAGGAAGGAAAGAAGGAAAAAAGGAGAGGGAGGATCTGAGGGAAGTCCTGCTTTAGTCCTGCCCTGCTGCTCTTTTACCATCCCTTGCCCCCTCCTCCTGGCCTATCTTGGGGGGTCTCCCATCCTATTGCTAAGGAAGCTTTGGATACAAAGCCGGGTCTCCTCCCATGGAGAGGGAATGGGCCTCCCTCTGACTTTGCCCTTGTACCCATCATGAGAAACCTGTTTTTATTCTCCCTTCCAACCAACTCCCACTTTGGCATTAACCATAGCATTAAGCCTAATGTAATTGTTATATTTATTGCCCAGTATAGGTGGTTGTTTACAACCAGTTCGGTGTAGTGGTTAAGACCCCAAGTAGAAAATAGGAGACTGGGCTCTAGTTCCTTCTTAGGCACAAAGTAAACTGGGGGACATTGGGCCAATGACTCCCCCTCAAATCTAGGAAGCAGGCAATGGCAAATCACTTTTGAAAAACATTGCCAATAAAACTGTAGGCACTAACCCAAGCAATTGCCAGGAATTAAAAACCGACTTGAAGGCACACATACACGCTTGTGCGCACGCGCGCGTGCACACACACACACACACACACACACACACACAATCATGGACATAGCAGCAGTGGGTCTTAGAGTAGAGTCCATGGTTTGAAGACCTTGTTTTTTCTCAGCTGAGTGCAAAATTAGGCATATTTATTAGTTTCCAAATTGACTTCAGTTTCTAAATTGATTTCAGAAACTTGAAAATAGATTGAATCTCTAAAGTACACATGGATTAAATCAACTTGCATATATAGGTAATTAACTAATATATTTCTCAATTTTAATTTACAATTTTTAAAAATTCATTGTCTTAGAATTATAACATTAAGTAACATCTAGGCTAGTTTGGTCTGCCATGTTCAGACGGTACTTGGCAAGTCAGTTATGGTGCAAATTCTGTAGCTATTCTGATTAAATAATTAAAAGGAAATAATGGAAGGAAAGGCAGATGTACATACATTCAGCATTGTTGTTAAATCTTGCTTATGATTTTCCTGAGTCTGGAATGTTAAAATTTTTAACTGCTTATTCTTCAGAAACAGAAAACTCCTTCACATGGTATGATATTTTGGATTCGTAAATGAAATAGTCTCCTAATAAAAAATAGTCCTGAAAATTATGGACAAGAGCCAGTTTGGTCTAGTGCAGGGGTAGGCAACCTTGGCTCTTTTAGCTGGCTCAGGAATTCTGGGAGTTGAAGTCCACGAGTCATAAAAGAGCCAAGGTTGCTTACCCTTGGTCTAGTGGTTAAAGCACCAGGCCAGAAACCAGGAGACACTGATCTCTAGTCCTGCATTGGTCAAAAAAGCTGGCTGGTAGAGTTTGGTCCAGTCACTTTCTCTCAGCTCAACCCACCTCACAGTGTGGTGGTGGTTGTTGTAGGGAAATAGGAGGAAGAAATATTAGTTACATTGCCGCCTTGAGTTATTTATAAAAATAATAAAGGTGGGATAAAAATAAGTAATAAATGGCCACAATAATTTCAATTATTCTTTTAACCTATCACCATCAAGACAGAAGAATGCATTTTATATCAAATTTCATGAATTTGGCATCCTTTAGATATGTTAATAACTTCCAGAGTTGGGATCCTCTTTGACAATCATTACATTGATCCATTTTGTTAATGTCATTACTGCTATGTTTTGCTTTATCTCAGAGGTCTATCATATTCTTTTTGCTCTAGAGATTGGTGATGGCATTGGTAAAAAGTGGATGGTTGCTCCGACAAAGTAAGTAATGGATTTTATTTTCCACTCTTTGCTTTGGGGCCAAATAGCTTGATATTAAGAAATGATTGGATCACTTCATATTGTGTGTTTTAAAAAGTCTGCAACTATAGCAGACAGCATTCTCTATGCCAGGGCTTTTCAACCTTTTTACCGATTATACCACTTTTAGGATATGGCAATATTCGAGTACCACCTAGCAAGGTGTCAAAAACTTGATGACGAAAAAAAAAACCTGTTCAAAGTTGCAATTGCACTGAAATTACTTATGACCATTTTTCACACTTATGACCATTGCAGCATGCCCAGGGTCATGTGATTTATATTTGGATGCTTGGCAACTGATTCATATTTATAATGGTCACAGTGTTCCAGGGTCATGTGATCCCGTTCTGCAACCTTTTGACAAGCAAAGTCAATGGCAGGGCTGCTGGTGGCCAAGTGCTAAGGCGGGACTTCCTTTCCTCCCTCCCTTCCCTGCCTCCCTTTTTCTCATTCCGAGCTTCTGAAGGAAGAATTTGAACCCCCCCCCCCATATTTTCCCTCTTCCATATATTGATCAAACAAAGAAAGGCCTCCAGAGACAGAAAAGACAAGCTGCTGAATGAACTAGCTTAAAAAGGCACATTCCCCTTTAAGAATTAGCTACTGGCTAGAAAGGAAAGTAAGGAGCGCAGCCGGCACTTAAGAAAAAAATATGTAAGTACTGGCTGCCGGCTAAGGCAACCTCCCCAAATGGCTCCATTCATAAGTAAAGGAATGCTACAGGTAAAATCCATTCAGGAGAAAAATACTTCAAAATCCCTTACAGCAAAACTTACAGCAAACAACAGCAGAACAATAGAAGCTAACAGGAGACATCAGCCATCAGCCAAATAGAAATTGCCAAACACTCCTTAAGAACACAAAGCCCTCATTGCACAAATCCCAGAACTTCAAAGTAACAAAAGCACATAAGAATCTTTCCACTCTCCATCTCCTTCCCTCTTCTGTGCCTCACCTCCAGCCATTGCTGCCTTTTTTCATTCCTCTGGGAGGGTGACCCCTCCCCCACTGCATTTCTTGCCTGTTTGCTGTTGCCAGCACAGGTGACTGCCACAGCAGTTGTAGATCGGCTCATGGCCAGCTTGCTTGATCTCCTCTCCCCTCCCCCTCCTTCTCCTTCTTCCCCTTTGGTGCAGCTGACTCTGCCTCCTTCCAAGGCTGCTGCTTTTTCTCTCTCTCCCTCTCCTGCCCAAACTGCCCCCTTTTATAGGCTCTCCTGTCTCCCGCCCCCTTCCTCCTTTCTCAAGGGGGAGGGTGAGCCAGAAGTGAGCCTGGGGCCTTTGCAGCTCCAGGGGATTCTCTCACTGCAAGTCCTTGCCTGTGCTGGCTCTTTCCCTCTCCCACTACACTTGGCTAGGCAGAGCTGCGTAGCACCTGCCACTCATTAATGTACCACAAGTGGTACGCGTACCATTGGTTGAAAAGCCCTGCTCTATGCAAGGACTTTTTTCCTTTTTTTATCCCTCTTCTTCCAATCAGTAAGAAGTGTTTTCTTCCCACAGGGCAAATTACAATGGCCATGGTAGTGGGGAAGAACTCTCGTATTGGGGAGAAAGGGATTAAACAGCTGTTCCTAGCAGATACCTCCAGATATACAGAGCTACAACTCCTATGTAAATGAAGACTCAATCATCTAAGCTTTTGGCCTCAATGATTGAGTCTTCATTTACACTTGCAATACATTTTGAGGAGAAACCCCTGCAAGAGTTAGTACATTCCAACGACTCTCTGTCTAACTTAAATTTTTCATTTTGACTGAAGTTACTTGGATGAGTAACAAAATGTCTCAGTTTAATAAACTTTGGTCCAATTGCCATGATTTAACCTTTTAAGATATAACTCCTTTGATTTCTCTTTGGGAGATGGAATTCTGGAGTTGTGGACAACATAGTAGGAGAATATGATGTTGGGAATAGTGGATTAGATATATCCTCCCAAAGTAGTGATGCTTGGTTTAAAAAAGCGCTTCAAAAAGTGCTGCTTGGTAATGGTCTTGGTGGCTGCATGGACTAAGGCAGAAAATGTCAGGTAAGCCAATAAAACATCTTAGTTTATTACCTGATCTATAATTTACCTGATCTTAATTCTTACCTGATCTATAATTTGGTTCTTCCATCTTTGAGAAAAGCATGTGAATAGGCTTTTGTTTGCATTATCATATTTTAATGATTGCCATTATTAAAATGAAAATATTCTGCAGCATTTGAGCTACACAGTAATTGTAGAGATGTCTGTCTCCTTCACTGGTTAAAGGAGAAAACTTAATTGCTGGCTTTGATGAATGGTTTGTCAGAATGAGTCAGCTAGCTCTTAGGAAGAGTCAGGAAATATTTCCTGGCATCCAAGCTGTGTCTTAAAAATATAAGAGTAACTTAGCAGACTCAGAGTTTGCAGCATTTGATTCCTACATCTCTGATTGGATGATTATGGGGAGGTCACTTGCTTATGTGTCACAGTAGTTGATATTCAGAGGAATCCCCAACCTTCCTGTGATCCTGAAGATAATTTAAGGTGTAGGTTTATTGTTCAATATCCAGGGATAGCCTCATCTTCCATGAGCATTTTTAACCTTTCAAAGATTACAAAGTTAATGGCTGGTGGCCATTCCTATATCCTGTGGTAATGCATTCTAGTACTTTTTTCAAAGGGAAAGTGTTTGAATTTTTCTTAAAGCATTGTAGAATGTTCAAACCTATTAGTGATTTTAGTTACTTCAATGTAACAAATAATAGAATAATTGAATAATAGAGTTGGAAGAGAACCTGGAGGTCTTTTAGTCCAGCTCCTTGCTTAAACAGAAGATCCTATACCACTTCAGACAAATAGTTGGCCAGTCTCTTGTTAAAAACTCCAGTGGTGGAGCACTCACAACTTCTGGAGACAAGCCGTTTCATTGATAAATTGTTCTCATGGTTAGAAAATTTCTCCTTAGTTCTAGATTGGATTTCCATCTGTTACTTCTTGTCCTGCCCTGAGGGCTTTGGGGAATATGTTGACCCCCCCCCTCTTCTTTATGACAACCCCTTAAGTATTGGAAGACTGCTGTCATATCACTCCTAGTCCTTCTCTTTGTTAAAGTAAACATACCCAGTTCCTCAGACTTGAGACCCAAGTTTTTTACTAACTTATTTATTTAATTTATTGGCTGGGTGGCTTAAAAGGATAAAACGATTCAAAACCTATATGCAATACGAATAAGTTACAAGTCAGGTATGCATATTGCCCGCTTGTCTTCACCTTCCATGACTATTCTATATGTATTTCTTTAGGTACTATATTACGACGCTGGAAGAAAAATTGGTTTGATTTGTGGTCTGATGGCCATTTATTATTTTATGACAATCAACATCGACATGATCTAGAAGATAGAATTCACATGAAAATTGACTGTATCAATATCAGAGGGGGAAATGAATGCCGAGGTGAGTATGTGCTTTTTATATGACTTTCCATTTCCCTTCACATGCCTGTGTGTACTCCCCCCCCCAATATCTAAGAGAACTTAGTGTCACCTGTAATAACAGTGTTAGTGGTGTAGGTCTAAAACTAATTAAATGCAGAGAAATTGTTTTAAATGGGGATTAGTGATGGCTGGTTTTTTTTTTGTGTGTGTGTGTGTGTATGTGTATGTGAGCACACGGAATAATAGTCTTCATTGATTCAGTGGGAGTTACTCCTTATGTAGGCTAAAATTTTAGTGTTATAATAATTGGTTTGCCCGCAGTGATGACAATTCCCTTAATTTTTTTAAGGATAGAATTTGTATACCTGTCTTTGATTAATTGGTTTTTATTTCACAAGAGAAGACAGGATGCTGGACGTTTCAGCTTATATATTTTGTAACTAAAGGAATATATTTGATGACCATTAAAGCAATTGTTTTGCCCCACTTGGCAACAGTTTCATATTATATAATGTGGATGATGACTGCCCAACTCTTCTTTACTGCCTTCTGCTTAAAAGAGTTGAAAGACTGCATCGTGTGTTTACTTAGAAAATAAAAAAAATTAAGGAATATTTGAAACAGTGCTCCATAAGAGATAGAACAGATTTGTTTTCTGCTGTTGCAGGGGATAGGACTAGAACTGATGAGTGGAAATTGCATGCTAATTTCAGATACATCTGAGGAAGTAACACACTCCAATTCAAACTTTGTTAGATCCTGGAGAAATGTTGAGGATTCTGCAGTTAAAGTAGACACATTTGCAAGGTGCCTAGGCTGGGAAGATAACTCCTGCCTTGTGATTCTGGAAATTATTTTGAGTCAAATGGTTGTCCATATTGCATCTCAAGTTCAAATGTCTTATTTTACTTATGATTTTTAAATACCAATTTCTGTTTTTGTATTATGTAGTATTTTGTATGGGTATTATGAGTTTGCATTTTGGATTCCGTCAGGGGAGATATTTCTTTTTTATTAGGGAACCAAAATTTGGGGGGAATCTCGGCTTGGAATCTCAGCTCCTTTTGCTGAGATTCCTCCTACCCCCTGCAAGCAGCTCTTCAAGAGGGAAAGGACTACCTGCCAAATGAAACAGAATGCCTCTGGAGTGCTACACAAGTGGAAGGTAGATCCCAAAGATCTGAGCTATGTTCCTGCAACACTTTGGAGGAGGACTCTTTATGTATGGAGGGGAACTGAACTTGACAGGCAGCTCATTCACTTTGCTTAAATGATCTGGGAGATTGCTTAACGATTGCAACTGAGAATGATGGATTTGTGATCATTTAGCAAAGCAGTCACGTGGGAGTTTTGCTTAACAACTGTTTCCATTTGTGCAGTGGTGGGATTCAAATACCTGAACAACTGGTTCTCTGCGTGGACATCACTTCCGGAAGTCCATTCTGAGACGGAGAGGCCTCCCAGGCCCAGAGCAGCCCACCGGAAGTGCATGGACACCACTTCCAGAAGTCTGTTCTGAGCCTCGGAGGCCTGGGGAAGGCGTCCCAGGCTCAGAACGAATTTCCAAAAATGGCGTCCACGCACTTCCGGCGGTCCATTCTGGGCCTTGTGAAAAAGGGCTAGGGCATCAACAAAAGTCAACAAAAAATTACGTACCGGTTTTACTGAACCGGTGCAAACTGGCTGAATACCATCAATGCATTTGTGGTTGTAAATCAAGGACTACCTGTATAAAGCAAAGAACATGTACATATTTCTTATATTTGTCAGGCATGGCTTTTGCTTTGACTGGTGAAAGATATATAGCATGAAAAAACAAGTATTTTTCCCATTTTAATTGTTAGGTGCCAGGAAAATCAGGAGATCGGGAAAGTTCAATGGCAAAGGGAAATTTAAGAATCAGAAAGAATTCAAAGTAGGCTGCACTTAAATCTCTTGTGGGCGTGAAGGGACTCATGACTGATGATGTGTTTGACCCCTCCATTTGGTTCAGCCTGGTCATCTCCTACATTAATTCTTGGTTTGCTTATAAAAGCTTGATTGGTGTATGAAAAGTATATATTATTGAGACAATAATTTATTGATTGAATATTGTCAGGTCATCTCCTACAAATATATTTTAAAATAGTTTTAATCTTTATTAAAATTGGAAATGGCAGTTACTGAATTGCCAACACTGCAGCATCTTTTCTCTTTTTTTTATTTAGAAGAATTAGGCAGACAAAAAGTTAGCCCTGAAAATGAGTGGCAAAAACCCCCACAACCCATTTAGAAACCCCCCAAAGTAAAGAAAATTCTGTATGAACAGATTTTGTTTTCCACAGTATCAGATATAGAAATTGCTAATTTTCAGAAAGAAAATTAAGAAAGCTGGATGTTTGGATTTTTGAACATTTTGGTTTTTATCTTGAACTATTAACTTTTTATCACAAGGTGTAAAATCATCTCTATTTTGGATAGGTTTTCAGCCTCCAGAGGGCAAAGCTAAAGACTGCTTGCTGCAGATAATTTGCCGTGATGGGAAGGTGCTCAATCTCTGTGCAGAAAGTACCGATGATTGCTTGTGAGTTTTGAATGATTTGCCTCTTCTGCTTTGATTCAAATATAGGCGCTTAGTTACTTTCATAATGGAAGTAGCTCATATTTGCATAATTCATATATATATGAATTAGGTACATATATGAATTAGGTAAAACCGTAACAGTTTTGCCAATTGCAAAATGCCACTCTCTTTTTGTTTGCTCTTTTTTATAACCCCCAAATTCTTTATTTTTTATTTTCCTGTATCTGTATGTGCATCTTACCAGCAGCTAAGTATAGTTGTACATAATTTTTAAAATGTATTGCTGTACTTCATGAAGATATAAATGTTAATCCTACTTTCCATGACCTGTTGACTTTCTCTGATGACTTTTGAAATTCAGGAAATGAATCGTGCTAGATTATCCTGAGTATTCAATTGCTTTGTTAGCAATTTTATTTGCTTTCTTCTTTCAAGATTAGCATATAGTAGCACATAACTGCTAAAATAAACTTAAGTTTCTCTCTGTCCATTGAAATATCACCAACATTATGTTGTGATCCTCTAAATCCTCAAGATGAATATAAAATCATATGTTGCAAATGTTTTCTTATATAAACTGTTGGTCACCAGAGTGATGGAGTCATTAGGAAAGGATTAACTTTTTTTGGGGGGGGGGGTGAAAAGGCAGGCTAATAAAGAATCCTTCCCCTCCTGTCCAACACATTTTATATATTCTCAAAGGTGACAGTGGAAATACCAAGTTCATCCATAGAAACCTTGATCTGAGCCCTAATGTCTTGTGATACCTAAGGAGCAGAGTGATAGTGGCAATGACAGGTGAACTGAAGTTGCTCTGAGGCATCACTATGAGTGGCATCTCTAACAAAGCACGTAGCAGTTGTCAGCTCAATTATGGCTTGGTTGTCTGTTTTTTAGGACTGCTCTTAGTCCTGAGGTCCCAATGCAGGAAAGATGTCTTAAGGGGAAGTTGTAGTTGGTGAGGGCTTTTGAGATAAGGGCCTATTTTCAGTGGACTGCTTCTAGTTCTCTGTCCCTTCAGGCATTACAGTTTGCTGAGAGCAATGGCACAACTTCTAATATTTATTGTATGTCTCCAAGAGTCAGTCTCTCCCCCCCCCCCCTCTCTCTCTCTCTCTCTCTCTCTCTCTCATATAAATACACATCCACACACACATATGAGATAATAGAAATTTGGTTCCATTCTATGGAACACTAATCTTTCAATATTTTTTCATATAGAATTCATAATGTTTTCTTCCTGCAGCCTTTCTACTTTCACTCTGCTTTCTTTCATTCCTTTCAAGATATTTTTTTCCCATGTTTCATTCTCGAGAATACCATATGTGGGCAGTTCCATGCTCAGAATTACTAATCATACTGGGTGACATTAGTTTTATTTTCCTAATATTTAACATTAACATAAATGGAAGATGTTTTCATGATAGTCTGAACCTCAGTGGGGAAAATAGGACTGTGTGTATTGTCACTAAGGGATGTGAATTTTTCATAATGATAATGAGGGATTGAACCCTTTAGAAATCAAAAGACACCATGCTGTCCAGTATCTATCCATACTTATTGGGTGCCAGAGAACATGCCTTGCTCATGAAGAATTTATCTAAGCAAATATTGAAATTTTGATTGTCCAGATAGTGAGTTAATTTTCAACGAGCCATTGTTAATTACTATTTAAAGAAAAACTGGTTCTTTACTCCACTGCTAGCTGTTAAACACATTACATTGCTTCATTCCACAAATTGTAGGGAGATCTCAAGGATATTGAGATGACTTAGGGGCAGTCTTTCCATAATTATCAAGCAAATAGCCAAGGTACAATTTTATTGCTTCTAAGCAGCTTTTTGGCAACATAGGCTGTCAGAATATGCTGTATGTTGCCATGTCTATCCTAGAGGATGGTACCATAGTACATTTTCATGTCAGCAGCATTGCTATGATGATCAAGAACTTATATGTGGGGTTTGATAGTCCTGCCAAAAAGAGAAATTAAACTTATATTTTAGACAGGATGTGTATCTGTTTTACTTTTTATATATTGTCCTTAGAGTAGTGGGAAATGGTTTATAAGTAATGTATTATATATAGCTGAAATGGATTCCTATGACTTAGAATAAATTCTTTTTGGACCTGTGTTCTCACATGAAGAATAGTTGACCATTGGTGATCTGAGATGACACTGGAGAAGTGGAAATGACAACGTAGCTAAGACCAATGGACCGGTGATGAGTTTGGGTCAAAGGAACTTCTCTGGCCAAGGAGAGCATGAGAGAACACCTATTTGTATTCCAGATAGCTACTCCTTATGAAGAAGCTGCTGGAAAATTGTTTACTTTTGGGTTTAAGATTTAAGGATACTGGGCTCATCCAAACTCACTTTTAAACACTTTTGGATTTATTATTTTAAAGTTAAAATAAGTCTTCCAAGCAACAATTTTGAAAAAATACCTGAAAATGAGAAACTAGAAGGGACTAAAGTTCCAGGCAGTAAAAAAAGGAGAGAGAGAGAGAGAGAGAGAGAGAGAGAGAGAGAGAGAGAGAGAGAGAGAAAAAGAGAGAAAGAAAGAGAAAGAGAGAAAGAGAAAGAGAGAGAAAGAAAGAAAGAAAAAGAGACAGAAAGAAAGAGAGAAAGAGTAAGAGAGAAAGAATGAGAGAGAAAGAAAGAGAGAAAGAAAGAAAGAGAAAGAGAGATAGAAAGAAAGAGAGAAAGAAAGAACAAGTGAGAGTAAGAAAGAGAGAGAGAGAAAGAGATAGAAAGAAAGAGAAAGAAAGAGGAAGAAAGGGAAAGAGAAAGAAAGGAAGAGGGAGAGAAAGAAAGAAAGAGAGAAAGATAGAAAGAAAGAAAGAACGAGAGATAAAAAGAGAGAAAGAAAGAACGAGAGAAAGACAGAGAAAGAAGGAAAAAGAAAGATAGTGATAGAAAGAAAGACAGAGAGATAGAAAGAGAGAGAGAGAAAGAGAGAGAGAAAGAAAGAAAAAGAAAGAGAAAGAGTAAGAGAAAGTGAGAGAAAGAAAGAGAAAGAGAAAGAAAGAGAAAGAAGGAGAAAGAGAAAGAGAGAGAGAAATAGAAAGAAAAAGAAAGAGAGAGAAAGAAGAAAGAAAGAGAAAGATAGAGAAAAAAGAGAAAGAAAGAAAGTGAAAGAAAGAGAGAAGAGAAAAAAAAAGAGAGAGAGGCAGGCCTATCTTTTATTTTTGAGTCAAAAGAGGAACAATGAAACTGTGAAACATACAAAATGATAAATTTGAGACATTTAAAATAATTTTTGAAAAGTTGGGAGAAATCTATATCTAAGTTGACAGCAATAATTATTGCACCTGTTAATACATTCTAAAGATGGGAAAGAAAATAACATGAAAGAATTTATAGACTGACAGAATGAAAAAGTGAAACAAATTCCAATTGATGTAGAAATTTTGGAAGATAAAGAAATTGTGGATTATAAAATAGAGATAACAGCCAGATTGGAAATGGAAAGATGATAAGTCAAGAGATGAAAAATGACTTGGGCAAGACTTACTGGATTTAGAGAAGAGGTTTTCTAACCCTTGAAGAGATCTCTGAGATGGGAGAAGGAAAATTTGATTGGAGATTCAATCCTACAACAGCAGGTTGATGAATTAAAGATCAAAATTGTCAGAAGCAAAAGAAAGGAATATAAAGTTGACTTGTTTGATCATAGTTAAAATAAATATTTCTATAAAATTGTGGAAACCCTTTATGGACTTTTTGCCAAAACCTGGACAGAAATAATGATGGGTTTGCAGGTGTATAGAGGAGGGGGTTATCAGAAGAAGTGAATTATGTATGCAATTTTATGTGGGTGGCGACATATTAAACATTCCTGCACTTACTGCAAGGAATTACTTCTTTAAATATTTTTAATATTTTTTCTTTTTCCATTCTTTTGTGCACTTTATATTTCATTTCTTTTTACTTTATTTTCATTTCTGATTTTGGTTTATCTTTTAATATTGTTAAACTCTTTAATAAAAAGGAATTTAAAAAAGAATAGTTAATTTCTATAAGATCTATCAACTGGTGATCAAAGAAAAATTTCAGAAAACATTAGAATTTTTATTATTAAACTGGTTCAGTTATAACTGGTAATTGCATACATATAGGTGAAACTCAAAAAATTAGAATATCATGCAAAAGTTCATTTATTTCATTAATGCAACTTAAAAGGTGAACCTAATATATGAGATAGACTCATTACATGCAAAGCAAGATAGTTCAAGCCGTGATGTGTCATAAGTGAGATGATTAAGGCTTATAGCTCATGAAAACCCCAAATCCACAATCTCAGAAAATTAGAATACTGTGAAAAGGTTCAATATTCTAGGCTCAAAGTGTCCCACTCTAATCAGCTAACACCTGCAAAGGGTTCCTGAGCCTTTAAATGGTCTCTCAGTCAGGTTCAGTAGGAATCACAATCATGGGAAAGACTGCTGACCTGACAGTTGTGCAGAAAACCATCATTGACACCCTCCATAAGGAGGGAAAGCCTCAAAAGGTAATTGCAAAAGAGGTTTTGGATGTTCCCAAAGTGCTGTATCAAAGCACATTAATAGAAAGTTATGTGGAAGGGAAAAGTGTGGAAGAAAAAGGTGCACAAGCAGCAGGGATGACCGCAGCCTGGAGAGGATTGTCAGGAAAAGGCCATTCAAAAGTGTTGGGGACTTTCACAAGGAGTGGACTGAGGCTGGAGTCAGTGCATCAAGAGCCACCACACACAGACGGATCCTGGTCATGGGCTTCAAATGACGTATTCCTCTTGTCAAGCCGCTCCTGGACAACAAACAACGTTAGAAACGTCTTACCTGGGCTAAAGAAAAACAGAACTGATCTGTTGCTCAGTGGTCCAAAGTCCTCTTTTCTGTTGAGAGCAACTTTTGCATTTCATTTGGGAACCAAGGACCCAGAGTCTGGAGGAAGAATGGAGAGGCACACACTGCCAAAAGCACCAAAATCTGGTTCAGTGACCATGGGATTACTGTGCTTGATTGGCTAGCAAACTCGCCTGACCTGAACCCCATAGAGAATCCATGGGGCATTGCCAAGAGAAAGATGAGAGACATAAGACCGAACAATGCAGAAGAGCTGAAGGCCGCTATTGAAGCATCCTGGTCTTCCATAACACCTCAGCAGTGCCACAGGCTGATAGCTTCCATGCCACGCCGCATTGAGGCAGTAATTGCTGCAAAAGGGGCCCAAACCAAGTACTGAGTACATATGCATACTTATACTTTTCAGAGGTCCGATATTGTTGTATGTACAATCCTTGTTTTATTGATTGCATGTAATATTCTAATTTTCTGAGATTGTGGATTTGGAGTTTTCATGAGCTGTAAGCCTTAATCATCTCACTTATGACACATCATAGCTTGAACTATCTTGCTTTGCATGTAATGAGTCTATCTCATATATTAGGTTTACCTTTTAAGTTGCATTACTGAAATAAATGAACTTTTGCACGATATTCTAATTTTTCGAGTTTCACCTGTAATTTGATCTTTGCTAGTGATTTGTTTCTTTTCATGCTTTACTTAGCTTATGTTTCTTGTAGGGCTTGGAAAATTGCTCTTCAGGATGCCAGAACAAATGAAGTGAGTATTTTTTTGTTGTTGTTATCTGTGGTGAGACATAACTATTTATTTGTTATGATTTTTATTCCATTTCAATAATATAATTCTAGGCTGCTTACAAGCTTTACTATTACTGATATTTTAATAATTAGTTAAAATGTAATAAATAGATGTTCCAGAAGAGGGTGCAGAGGATGTTTTTAGTGATATTTGGTGTACTCATTTTTCAATTGAACAGGTTTTGTAAATCCACAAAGAGAAAAGGAAAAAGAAAAAAAAAGCCAACTGCTTTAGGCTATAATCCAACCATGAAAAAAGCCAACTGCTTTAGGCTAATCCAAATGTTCCCATTATTTCAAAAATATAAAAAGCCCTCTATTTCCAAATAGTTTCTATTATAGTTATATCCAGGGTCAGAAGATATTGTAAAAAATCTTTTCTAGTATAAAATCACACACAATTCTTTTTATTTACAACGGGTTAGTCCAAGGTCAGCAACTTCTCCAATTCTTTTTGTATTGTTGTAGTATCTCCTCTCACCACTAGATGTCTGAATTAATTGTAATGGGTATGTCCAGGTTTAAAAAGATTTTTTAAAATGGTTTCTCACAAAAAATAAATAAAAAAAATTCCCACATCATAAAGGTTAGCAAAATTTTCTTTAAATCAGTCCCAGTTTCATTTTTGTATATTCTTTTATATTCCTTAATTTCATTCCCCCATTTAAAAATTTTCGCCGCTTTTAACTACCTTCCTCCCAAGTCTTCCTGGGGTCTTTGCTTTGGAAATTATCCATTCTGGGGATTTATATTTCTAAGTCCACAGGGAAGAGAAATAAAAAATAGTCTCACCCAGATCTTAGCACATTGTTAACAATCAGCTTTTCAGTGGCATGCTGTGGCATGGCACAGTTCTTTGCTTCTTTCCCAGTTATCTATGACTTGGGCTGCCTGTGCATTTACCTGCAGCCTTTTCTCCCGTCCTTTTGAAGAGGTTCCTCGGTTCGTTTGGGCTGACCACCATCGGCTACAAACTCCCAAGGCTTCCCTTCCTCTTTGTCACCTCGCCAGGGCAACCTTCCAACCTCAGACGGAGCAAAATCGTACTAGGAAACCAGAGCCCCGATTTCTTTCATCCATCTTCTCATGACACCCCAAGATGCTGCATTTTGTATTACTTCTAGCATCTTGGTCACCTCCAGTGGCAAACTACCTATAAAGTCTTTTGGTAATCTAGTCAAGTGATGAATAAGACTTGAGCTACTGACACCAGGACATCCTGGTATAGGTAGAGCATTAAATGGCCATGCTGGGTAGAAAGCTCTCATGGCTGTGGCTTCCATTGTTGTTAAAGCACAGTTGCTTTAACTGGGAGCCCAGTAATAGTATCCCCAAGTTGTGAATCCCCTCCTTTAGGAAAAGCACAACTCCATCAAGACCAACAGTATTGGATCACTTTGCTGTTTATTGATGAACGCTAACTCTTAATTAGCTCACTTTTCCATTTGGGACTGTTGAGAAAGAACGTGCAGAGCAGGTTAGCTGTATGATTAAGTATAAGTCTTTCAAAAGCAACACACTGGGCAATATCTGAGCAACGCTAGTTGACAATGTGCATTGTGTCTTTGAAGAAAATTGGCGAATTGCTAGGATTGATGCCACATTTGACATTGTTCATTATTGCATTTATTGAGTAGCCCAATCTGAGGGGCAGAAGTAGAACATAATAACACTGCTTACCACTTTTTATCATGTTTGTTACAGATTGTGATTAAAAGGGATTATTTAAATGCAAGAGCAGAATCTGCAATTCAAATCCCCTGTATATGTATAATAAAACATAAGCATTTGGGGATAAAAGAAAGAAGTGAACATTCCATATATGGCCAACTATTTACTTTCCCAAAGTTAAACTGTGGGGAATTTTTTTAAAGAAGTATTTCTCTTCCCTTCTTTTCCCTTCCTTTCCCTTGCTCATGAATCTAAAGTAAACCTTGGGTAAGGGACAGAGGAGGCAGAGTTAAATTCATGAATAAGTCTGTTCTATCAATTCAAGCAGCTTTGGTGACTGGTCTACTCAAGGTTTGTTGGATTACAGGTCCTGTCACTTTGCTGAATGAGGTGGTGGGACCTGTAATCCAATACACTTGAAAGGAGCACCAGGATTATGCAAGGAGACTTCAGTGTCAGTTGAATGTGAGGTTTGTAAAATAACAACTTGTTTTGTAAAAAGCCACAATCTGTTTGCATAAGTGAAAAGAGGGAAAGAAATATCCCCAGTGTTAGGTGCTCCTGGCTACTTTCCTTCGTGACCAGAGGCAAGCTCGCCTGACCAATAACCAGCCAAGACACAGTGAAGGCCTTTTGTTTCGTTTATTGCAATAAGCGGGGAGAGAAGCTATCAAAACTTGGTTCTCTCCAAAGTTTTAACCCAAAATATTTCCTTCTTTATACATCCCTTGTCCCGGCCGCCACATCCCTCCTCTTTCCCCATTGGCTGAGGTACTATGAGGTTACACTCTTTCCGACCGCCTCCTACATATTTCCTGCTACATACTAAATCATACATCACATGTACATTAAAATTAGAAGATAATTTATGCAAGGCGTGTCAGTTAATATTAATCAATTAATTGCGCATGCTCAGTTGCCTGAGTTCTGGCCCCCTTTTTTATGACTTCTTAGAAAAATAGGTTCTTTCCTGTTTTGCTAGTTATCTTCTATTACAGATGATTTCTTCTTCTTTTTCCCACTCTTAAGACCCAACTATTTTTGCCTAGGTATTTCCTTTACATCCTTTCTTTATGTTAACCTTTCCTCTTTCCCACCATAGCTTCTCTACTCAGTAAATTTCCACTGCAGCAAATTCAATTTTAAATTTCTCTTTCAATATTAAATTTTGAAGACCTTTCTTTTACTTCTATCATCAGGGAGAACAATATAGCAAGAGTCTTTTTTAAAAAAATAAATAGTGCGTTATGTAATACTTTAAAAACAAAGGATTCAGTCATTGCCTGCACAAAGCCAACAAAAATCGAATTGTTTTTGAATAACAAAACAATTTTTCAAAACCTGGTGGGGCTCCTGATTGGGATTCCTATTCTCATTCTTATGGTACTTATCTGAATGGCAGAGTGGGCTCTCAAAAATAGTTTCCTGTACAGTGCCATTCATTGTGGCATTTCTCACCTGCTGAAATAATTGAGTAATTAAAGGCACCCAGATTTTTGAAGTTCTTCTCTTTTTTGTAAGAAGTCTGTTGTGTGACTATAGGATTAATTTTACTGTCACAACTACTGCCAGCCTGATCTGTGTTACTTTACAGCAGCATCTCCTAATGTATTCCTCTGGAATTCTGTATGCACTGTTACATTTGTCATATTTCTGATATTAAATAGAAAGCAAAACTGGGAGGCTTAACTTGTATAGTATGCATAATATATATTAAATTATCCAGCTATTAGTTAGAAGCACTAGTTGAAAAAAACCCTGTCTTTGTCTTTTTCAACACACACCTTCTTTGTGTAAAAGATATTAGTTTCTTTGCCTTTCTTAGGTTTGACTTGCATAGTTGCAGTTGTCATTTAATAACATGGCCAACTTTTGCTGTATTTTTATGTTGATCTGCCCAGGCTTATGTTGCTTCTGAGATGATGTATGATGATAATGCGATTTCTTCAGCACCTCCTCCATACACAGCGTATGCAACACCATCACCTGAGGTACTTAAAACCAAATGTGTAAATAATTTAAAATGGTAGTAATTGACATGTTTATATCATCATGCATTAAACTTGCCGACAGGATCTCTGACTTGAAGCAGGACTGTTAGAACTATTTATTTCTTCATACAGGTGCTTTATGCCCCAATTCCTAATTAAAGCATAGCCTGTGACTTCCTAGTCCTGGGACCCACCCAGACACTTGTGGGCAGCAGTGGATATAACTCAGCCTTCCCTTCCCTATCCATTCAATTATTTTGATTGAAAGCCAATAAATGTGAAGTTAAGGTGTGCAAAGTATTTATCTCAAGTTTATCCTTTGTTTCTGAGGATTAATCTGGTCCTCCTTAAATCCTAAACGCACTCTTACTAAATTTAAATTGAATGGTCTTTGTGTGTACTAGCCAGTCATGGAAAAAAAAAAGGCATAGATAGCTAATGACAAAGAGAACATCCTAAAAAGGTAACGTGGTGCTGGGGAACAGCCTAATCTGTTTGACTTTCTGGTAAATAAGTGTTTTGTAATTGGCCATATTCACTCTCACCGTTTCTTTCACAAATGCTTCTAACATGACTATAATTTCCTTAGGTTTATGGTTACCCACAATACAATGGTGCATATCCAGGATCTCAGATCATCTACACTTCTAATGGACAGACATATGCTATACCTTACCAGTACCCAAACCAAGGTACTTGCTCTTTTTATTTTTCTCTTGAACTGATTCATAGTTTAGAGTCATTTTAATAAATAATAAAGCATTGTTTTATGCTACATTAGGGGAAAGCAATCCTTTTGCAATCCAAAGCTGTAAAACACCCTCCCCCTCATTGTTTCAAATTAGAGAAGGCTAAGCAAAATAGTTGGATTAGGTCTATTGAGAAGCTTAATACTCTTATTTTAGGGTTATTGGTTTTTTAATGAGTAATTTTGTAATTGAAATTTGAGCCATGTGATCTTGCAACACCAGGCAAGGAATCCTATATAGCCTAGAGGCTGTCTGCTTTTGCTATTTATTAAAAAATGGGGAGAAAGTGTGGTGGAATCTGGAGTGGAGAGAAGGGTGGAGTAAAGATATTGGCAAGCTTGGAATCGCTCCAGGAGAAAAAGCAGCTGAGGCCAGACCCTCCCTAAAATTCTTGAAGCTTTTATCTATTGTTCCCAAGAGAATGCAGTTAGTTTGGCGAGATTATTATAAATAGGCTAGCAACAATAAGGAAGCACCTCTGTTCAGCTCATGGTGTCGTTTCATATTCAAATGAGTCGTCCTTAATGGTGCTACATATACATGGAGGGAAGTAAGCAGTGGGTTAACACAAGGTTCTATCTTAGGCCAAGTGCTCCTCAGTATCTTCATAAATGAGGGAATAGAAGGGGAACTCATCAAATTTGCAGATGACACTAAGCTGGCAGGAATAGGCAACACCCAAGAAGATAAGCTCAGGATTCAAAAAGATCTTGACAGACTTGAACAATGGGCCCTATCCAACAACATGAAATTTAATGTGGAGAAAAGCAAGATTTTACACTTAGGCAGGAAAAACCAAAGGTACAAGTACAGATTAGGCAAAACCTGGCTCAAAAACAGTAACTATGAGAGGGACCTTGGAGTCCTAGTGGACAATCACTTAAACAAGAGCCAGCAGTGTGCAGCAGCAGCCAAAAAAAAGCTAATACACAATCCTTGGTTGTATACACAGAAGCGTAGAATCAAAATCACATGAAGTATTAGTATTGCTTTATAAAGCCTTAGTAAGACCACATTTGGAATACTGCATCCAGTTTTGGTCTCCACATTACAAAAAGGATATTGAGACTTTGAAAAAAAAAAGTGCAAAGAAGAGCAACTAAGATGATTAAAAGCCTGGAGACTAAAACAGATGACGAATGTTTTCAGGATTTAGGTTTGACTAGTCTAGAGAAAAGGACTACTGATAGAAGTTTTCCAGTATTTGAGAGGTTGCCACAAAGAGGAGGAGGTCAATTTATTTTCCAAAGCACCAGAGAGCAGGACAAGAAAAATGGATGGAAACTAATCAAGGAGAGAAGCAAGCTGAAATTAAGGAGAAATTTCCTAACAGTGAGGACAATTAACCAGTGGAATAGCTTGCTGTCAGAAAACTGTGAGTGCTTGATCACTGGACGTTTTTAATAAGAGGCTGGACAGTTACTTGTGTGAAATGGTATAGGATCTCCTGCTTGAGCAGGAGGCTGGACTAGAAGACCTCCAAGGTCCCTTCCAGCTCTATTCTGATTAACATGATTTCTTGCACCTGAAAGAATTTTATTTATCCTATTTTATATCTCGTGTTTACACTGAACCAGTAACTATTTTGGAAGCAGTTCTATACATACTTATGTGGAAGTAAATGCTACTGAATTTACTGATCATTTATGAGTAGATATTTAGATTACGCTACTGAGTCTGTCCTGTTTGCATCCACTCACAGCGAAATGTACTCTATTTAATAACTTAGTAATTTTAGGATTACGTTTTAGTTTTGTAGTTACAGAATTGATTCCATATGACAAACACATTCAAACAAGACCTTCTGCTCTTCCTAAGTATTTTGGAGGATTGGGAATGAGTTAAACGAGAGCAATATCTGAATACACATGCAGTCTTAACTCTTTTACTCGTGCTCCTTCATTTACCCCTTTTGTGCATATGTGAATATGTTGGAGAACATTATGTATGTTCTCTAATGCTCTTTGCTATTAAATTCAAGCTCTTCTAGTTGACATCACTACAAAACTTCTTTTATTATTTCCTAATAAGATATAGCCCAGAATGTGTTGGGTGTCCAATTTTATGGAGATCTAACATTCCTTGTGCTAGAACAATACAAAAATAAACAGAAAAAAAGAAATTATTTCAAGTTTAGTTCACTGATATCCCCTTTTGTTTTCTTCAGGTCCCTATGGCCCGCTTCCTGCAAACCATGTCATCATTCGAGAACGTTACCGAGATACTGATGGAGACCTGGCACTGGGCATGTTAGCTGGGGCAGCAACAGGAATGGCCCTGGGCTCATTGTTTTGGGTGTTCTAGATTTTCTTTGGAGTTTCAAGTTGAGGGATATTCTTATTATCTTCTGTGTATAATAATATATATATTGGTAAAGTAGTGTATAGGCGTTTCATAAGTTCTAACAATATTTTGGCTAATGATACACTGGAATTAGTTAATCACATTTTTAATCATCCAGAAAGTTCACGTTAGTTAAGAAAGGTCAAGTAAGTTTGAGCCTATGTAATGATAAACAAGTAGCAGTAATAACAAGTGAAGTATTACTAATGGTGGCTAAATAACCACCACTGACTTCATTTTACAGTGAAATATTAACAATTCTCGTAAAATTTCTTCAACTGCTGCCTCAGAAGGAAACTCAAATATCTTTTTAAACACTCCTCAGAGACGAAAGATAATGACTTAGTATACACTCTGTGGAGAAGCAGAAGGAGAGAGAGAGAGAAAGAGTTTCTGTGTGTGGATTCAGATGGTTCTTGTATTTCAACAGTTGGTAAATATTCACCCTAAAGGCAGATATAAATCCTCCTAGATCAATGGTTCTCAACCTTTCTAATGCCGTGACCCCATAATACAGTTCCCCATGTTGTGGTGACCCCCAACCACTTATACATCATCGGGTGCCAGGGGCGTGGCCAAAGAAAAGGGGGAAAAAGTGGCGGACAGCCTTGTTTGGCGACCCCCGTGAAATGGTCGTTCGACCCCAAATGGGGTCCCGACCCACAGGTTGAGAACCACTGTCCTAGATCATTAAGCCACAAACACTCCAACATTTTGCTTTGAAAAAATTCCAGTCTGTACTTGAAGGAGTTTGATGACCATGCAAATAATGCCAGTGTCATATAAGTTGCTATCTTATTTAGTTGGAAGATTAGCAAAAGCCTGGACATGATCCTCTGGATGTGCTATGCACTCTTAGTCAAGTGTAGATTGTTATTTAGAACTCTGGGAGTTGTCATTCCATCAGGGGGACGTTAAGAAGGGAATGGTGAGTACCTATTAACATCCTCAATTTGAGAATTTTAGCTGTGCCAGAATTAGTCAAGTATCAAAATGTTTCAACCTGCATGTGAAAATAATTTGGCTTTGGGTCTTGATAGATAGTAGGAGATGTTATAGTTCTACTGGGCATTTAATTTTTTTATATTCAAAGTAGAATAATTATAGAGAATGGAGGCTAACAAAAACTTATTCATTTCTTTTTATTGCAAATTATTTTTAACACTTATTTACTGTTCTGGGACATTGTAAAGAGGCTTGTCCTTTGGTGATTAAGCCTGCTGTGTTCCTGATGAGTTTCATTTTCTACTTTTAGCTAGCACACAGAATTAACTGTAAGAACCTGGTAGTTTTATAAATAGTGCATGCATGTCCTGTTGAAATCTTAAGATCTGCATACAATTCTTCCAATTGTCTTTTATTTTGTTCTTCGTTTTGTAAATTAAAACTTTCACAAAAGCAGACTTGGGTGATGCCAAGTACCATACAGCCAAGTGCTAATACAGTGTGTATGATATCCTGTTGAGATAGGATAATTAAATCAAAGCTGGGGATGGCACAAGAAATCTTATTACAGGTTTCCGTAAGCTTTGCATTAAGCATATGCTGTTACTTTTTGCCTTAGGTATATATGCAACAACAAAATTTAATACGAGATATGGGTGTCATCCATCATTGTTGAACTTGGAAGCTTTCTTTTAAAGAAATGAATAATCTCTCTGCTAAGATATTTTTATTGTTTTCATGAATAGATCCAGTCTAGGACATTTCAAGTGATCACACTGTAAATTGAAGATAATAAATGTTTCATAAATATGATACATATTTAAATAATTTATGTTATTTTGGAATATATAGGTTACATTGGAATTTCTTAAGATTTAAGAAATTGATTATATGGTGAAAATTAATACTAGCTTTTGCTCTTTTTATGTAACTTGTCAAGTGCACCTTTTATGTCTTTCATAGATTTATCCGAATCCCCTATTTCTATGTACCATATTTGTACTTTGAAAAAATAAATAAATTTAGTCTTTGAACTGCTGGCAAGTTTAAATTGTACATATCCCTGGTGTTTCGTGATAATTAAGTTAGGTACCAAAGATTATCACATGATGTTTCAAAACGATACAAGTAGTCTTTTATTGGAACATTTATACTCTTATTAAGCAGAATTCTTTGAAGTTAGAGAGAACTACTAGTTTGATCTAATGGTTAAGGCACAAAGCTAGAAATCAGGTAAATGTGACTTCTACTTTAAGCTGGCTTTAGCCCAGTCATTCTCAGCCCAAATCATCTCACAGAGGTGTTGTTTCAAGAAAAATGGGGAGAGAAAGGAATAATAGGTATGTTAACGGCTTAGAGTTATTTATAAAATAAATATACACAAAAATATATAAAACATTTTCTAACAGGATTTTAAAATGCAGTGGATCAATCAGATGAATTACTGTTGGATTTTAGTTAAATATAGAAGGAAGGAAAACAATCCTGTGTATCATCTATAGCAGCAATCCCCAAACTTTGCGGCTTGGCAGCCCGACTGGAAGGGGGAGGGGGGAACTGGGTAGCGCAAGTGACGAGCTGGCACACACACATAAAAAGTGCCTGTCAGCTCGCTGCTCATGCAAGTTGAGCCCTATGCACATTCTCCAACCAGCCACTCACATGGCCCAATTCCAAATAGGTCTCTGCCTAGTAATGGGTTGCAGCCTAGGATTCCTAATCTCTAGAAGTGGTTCTCAACCTCTTCTTCACCACAGACCCCCTTTAAATAACTTTTGTGGCTATGGACCTCTAAGACTTAACTCAAGATTTAAATCATAACATTTCTTCAAGCCTTTGTGGATCCCTTGTTACAACATCACAGTCCCTGGGGGTCTGTGGACCACAGATTGAGAACCACTGATCTATAGAATTCTTGGGGCAGGTTTGAGCTTACACGAGGGAACTTACAGTGAAAGAAGTGCTATTTCCATATCCTACAAGGCTTAGGGCTACCCAATTCTGAAAAGGTGTGTGTGTGTGTGTGTAATGGGGGTTGGAAGGAGGGAAAAATATAATGAACATGTATGAAGGATTTGTTTTGTTTTGATTCTGAATGTTGGCTGCTGTGAGAAATCTGGACTTTGAAAAAACAGTCTATTTAAATGAAGTGGTGGGGACAAGAAATTGGAGAGATGACAGATAATTTTGCAATACTTCTTGAAATGCCTTACATAATGGTTGAAAACAGACCCCCCCCCCAAACTATAATATGGAAATACAATTTAGCTTTCAAAACAGTTATTGGGGAAAGAAGACTTTCTATGCATAAAAACCACTTATGGACCTATTCAAAGATAAAGAGGGAGCAAGAGGCAAAGTTCCTCATTTTAGGACTTTGTCCTTACCTGCTTCTTTTCAATACGGGGGAAAATCTGATAAGTTGCTTCCAAACAAGAAAAGAAAGTAGAGGAAGAGAGAGATTGCTATCATGAGCAAGAAATGCAAGATACTTTCAGGACTGAAACTTTTCCAGAGACCAGAAAGTTGCGATGTTCTTGTTATCTCAGTTTTCAGGCTTCAACAATTATTTTTTCACTTTAAGATGCATTTGGAAACACGAAAGAGTATCAAGTCACACAGAAGAAAATCATTTTTTTTCTCCTTCAGTCTTATGTGGGTATCTGGCTGGTTTTTTTAGCATACAACTGGAGTGTCCATTTTCAATAGAACCTTAACAGGTAGATTTCAGGTATTATTCAATATAAGAGGAATATATTGGCAATTGTCTCCAGCCCCAACTTAAATAACTGAGTAAAGCGCAAACTGGTAGTGAGCTATTGAAAAAAAATTCTACAGTTTTTTAAAAAAATAAATCTTATTTAACGTGATACAAAATAAATTACTTGGAAAACAAAATACAAAACAGAAGAAGATGGTCATGTGTTTGATGTGTTCTTGCACTTCATTGGAAGTGTGTTATAATTATAACAGTGATATAATTACTCTGCCTTGATCATCTTATAATTGGGTTATTCCAATGCACTCTACATAGGAAAGCCCTTGAAGATAACCCAGAAGCTACACCTACATGAGCTGCATTGGTTGCCATTTGGCCTTTGAGTGCAATTCAAAGCGCTAGTTATTACCTACAATGCCCCGTTTAGTATCGGGCCTGGATATCTGAGAGATTGCTTGTCTCCAGTCATCTCTGCCCAGCCCATGTATTCAGCAGAGTGGGTGAGCTCCAGGTTGCCTCCATTAAATACTGCCATCTTTTGGGACCTAGGAAGCGGTCTATTTCAGTTCCCACTGTCTGAAACAGCATCCCCCAGAGATAAGGTTGGTGACCTATCCTGGGGTTCTAGAAAGCTTTGAAAACCTGCTGGTGGTCCCAGGCCTGGGTTCAAAATCAATTTGCTGATTTTATTTTTTATTAAGTCATTTTAGTCTGGGCTCTCTGATTTAATATTTTTAGTGTTTTTTTATTTTTATCCTAGTTTTGTACACAACTGAAATTTGGCAGCCGGTAAATTTACATAAAAACAAGACACTAATGGGCAAATTATATGAATATTTTGTCACTATTGTACAATCATTCTCCAGACATCTTTACCTTCCCTGGCTTCATATGCTTGAATTGGATCTATATAAAGATATAGTCATGAAGCAACTCCTGTCTGGGATTCCTTCAGATCACTGGCTGTAGGAAGTGTGAGTGGATGCAGATTGAGAAGAATAGAGAGAGAGAGAAAAGTAAAACCACTGGCATTCTACCACTAGTAAATGATAAAGCTCAAAATTTTCAGCCAAAGAATTAAACTAACGGGGTAGAAAAATCATTCTCTCTGTTCTGGGGACAGCAGAGCTTTCAAAACTGAGTTAATTTGACCAGCTTACAATGTTGGAATGTTCTGCTTTCTGAATACAATATGGCTTCTTCCCACCTTTACCTACTATAGACAAGAAATTGACATTTGAGGGATTGCAAATGTCAGTATACAAAATTTATGCTTAGGCCTTTAAAACAGGCTTAAGGGAGATAGCTGAAAATCAACAAAATATTATTTGGCATTACTTCCATTTACTATTACCCCAAAGCAAGATGTACAGTTTTGCAAGTATTAAGAGAGATAGGAAGAGACAAAGATAAAAGCATCAGTTAAATGCATGCAAGATGCTGAATCTATTTCCAACTACAGGTGAAACTCGAAAAATTAGAATATCATGCAAAAGTTCATTTATTTCAGTAATGCAACTTAAAAGGTGAACCTAATATATGAGATAGACTCATTACATGCAAAGCATGATAGTTCAAGCTATGATGTGTCATAAGTGAGATGATTAAGGCTTACAGCTCATGAAAACCCCAAATCCACAATCTCAGAAAATTAGAATATTGTGAAAAGGTTCAATATTCTAGGCTCAAAAAGTCCCACTCTAATCAGCCTGGAGAGGATTGTGAGGAAAAGGCCATCCAAAAGTGTTGGGGACTTTCACAAGGAGTGGACTGAGGCTGGAGTCAGTGCATCAAGAGCCACCACACAGACGGATCCTGGACATGGGCTTCAAATGACGTATTCCTCTTGTCAAGCCGCTCCTGAACAACAAACAACGTTAGAAACGTCTTACCTGGGCTAAAGAAAAACAGAACTGATCTGTTGCTCAGTGGTCCAAAGTCCTCTTTTCTGATGAGAGCAACTTTTGCATCTCATTTGGGAACCAAGGACCCAGAGTCTGGAGGAAGAATGGAGAGGCACACACTGCCAAAAGCACCAAAACCTGGTTCAGTGACCGTGGGATTACTGTGCTTGATTGGCCAGCAAACTCGCCTGACCTGAACCCCATAGAGAATCTATGGGGCATTGCCAAGAGAAAGATGAGAGACATGAGACATGCAGCTGAAGGCCACTATTGAAGCATCCTGGTCTTCCATAACACCTCAGCAGTGCCACAGGCTGATAGCTTCCATGCCACGCCGCATTGAGGCAGTAATTGCTGCAAAAGGGGCCCAAACCAAGTACTGAGTACATATGCATACTTACACTTTTCAGAGGTCCGATATTGTTCTATGTACAATCCTTGTTTTATTGATTGCATGTAATATTCTAATTTTCTGAGATTGTGGATTTGGAGTTTTCATGAGCTGTAAGCCATAATCATCTCACTTATGTCACATCATGGCTTGAACTATCTTGCTTTGCATGTAATGAGTCTATCTCATATATTAGGTTTACCTTTTAAGTTGCATTACTGAAATAAATAAACTTTTGCACGATATTCTAATTTTTCAAGTTTCACCTGTATATGAGCTTAGCTTAGGTTTTAATAAGGAAGATCCTGCCTTTTCCAAGATTAGAAGAACTATCTAAATATTTATTTTCTTAAATAGTATAATTTTGGATCCCTTTGTAATAGGACAAAAAAAATAAATGTTGACTATGAGACAGGATATCACTTCTAATTTTATCAATAGTGATAAAAGTATTCAGTGGATTTTTTTTTTTAACTTGAATTAAGTTAATGAATTCTGGGCTGTATAGAAAACAGAAAACAACAAAACAAATAATCAAATGAGCTAAAAACAATGATTAGGGACAAAGTTGGTGAGAAATTACAATACAGGCAGTTCTTGACTTACGACCACAACTGATCCCAAAATTTCTGTTGCTAAGTGAGACAGTTGCTAAGTGAGACTCTTGATGCGGGTGAAGAAGGAGAGTGCAAAAGTTGGCTTGAAACTCAACATTAAGAAAACCAAAATCATGTCATCCGGCCCTCTCAATTCCTGGCAAATAGATGGGGAAGAAATGGAGGTAGTGACAGATTTTATTTTTCTGGGCTCAAAGATCATCTCAGATGGGGACTACAGCCAAGAAATTAAAAAACGCTTGCTCCTGGGGAGGAAAGCTATGGCAAATCTAGACAGCATACTAAAAAGCAGAGACATCACCCTGCCAACAAAAGTGCATATAGTTCAGGCCATGGTTTTCCCAGTTGCAATGTATGGCTGTGAAAGTTGGACCATAAGAAAGGCTGAGCGCAAAAGAATTGAGGCCTTTGAACTATGGT